GGGAGGGGCAGGAGGGGCCTCTCCCCTGGGGTGGAGGAGGGGCTCTTTTAGTGCCCGCCCTTCCACGTGCTGGGATCGAGCAGCAGCATCATGAGAGGGGGGAAAGGCAGGGAGGGACGGGCACGGGGGCGTTGATGCATGGCTGGTTGTAGAAAAATGCAGTAAAGAAGGGGTGGTGTCGGCATCTTACAAGTAGCCAGTAGCTGTCAGAGTCACGAACAGGCAGAGAACAGAGAAGGCGTAAAGCCGTTTAAAAACAAAGGGTCATTGAACTAGAAGGACTGAAGGGTGCCTGGAACACGTCCCTCCGTGTCCCCGCACGGCTTGAACCGTCTGATCAACTGGATGGGAAGCAAAGAAAGAAACCCGTGCATTTCTTACGTGCTGAATAAACTTACATTTGTGGAGGAAAAACTCCTCTTCCTCTTGAGCAACCTTTTCCCTCAACCCACTGGTTCCCCAGTCCAAGGGTTTGGGATAACACGGTGAAGCTCCCTCTGGCTTTTCTTGGTGTCCGTCAGGTCGAGGGGCCCTGCCCTGCTTCAGCCCTGGCTGCAGGGGTCTTGAACGTGCGTGGGAGGTGGCAGTGGTCTGTCAGGGAAAGGTGTAGGAGCGCAGCGAGGAAGTTAACCAGCCGGTCCCACTGAAACAGCTCTGCCTCAGTCGGAGGGGAGGGGATTGGCTTCTTGTCTCCTCGGGCTCGCTCGGAGGACGATGGGGCGAAGCCTGCGCCGCTTGCTGCGCCATGGGGCAGGCACACGTGAGCGGATGCGGGTACCAGAAGCACCAGCAGAGTCTGCATGAGCGGATTCGCCCTCATGCTGTCTGCGTTTGCAGTTAGCTCGCTGTTAGCTTTGGGTGTGCCTCTTGTGTGCTCTTAGGCTCCGTGCTGCCTTTTTATTTTTAGTGATGGAGATTCTAAGTATGGGGCGCACCTGGAGGGCCAGTGTGGCATATCACCCACATTTCAGTCCACAGACAGTTTTTCTCATTAGTTGTTTTCACAGTAGCCAAGTGAAAAATCATTGGTTCATTTTCTAGTAGATACTTGAACGTTTTGTTTTACGTTTTCAGTGGTTCTGCGAGGCATCAGACTGCAAGGATGACGTTGAAATTCTGACTGCCAAGAAATTCTGCGGTGATCTGGCCTACCGGCAGCGAGCCTTTCAGGTACCTCCTTTTACCAGTGCTCAGTGCCAGTGCTCAGCAGGCTTGTAAGGCTTGTGTGATTTTTGTAAGGCTTGTAAGGCAAAGTGCGATCTTACTCTGTACACGGAGAGCTTTGTTTCTGTGGTCCCCGAGGCAAATAGATAAGGCTTAAAACAGATAAGCCCTTAAGTGGGTAGGGCTCCAAACTTTAAATGGAACTGACTGCACACTCTACCTGCTAGAGAAAGCTTTGTGGCTACAGCAGTGATTTTTCAGGCAGGCGTACAGAAGCACCTTAGGGTGCCATGAGATCCTTTCAAGCGTGCCGCAGGGGGTCATGCAATATTTAGCACTGTTAGGTGTACAGACACCAGCCTGTAATTCACAAGATAAGCCACGAGATTTCAAATAGGAAATAGGAGTCTAACAAAGTTGAACTATTGGGCTAGAGCACTGGGCCAGAACGTGAGTTACTCAGGGCCACCTCCCTCGTTTGCCAGAGGGGATAGGTCCCAACAGCTCTATAACAGGGGGCCTGCTCGGGGCCGGTCTTGCCATGGCCTGCCCACCTGTTCCTGGGCCAACCGGCCACATTCTCGCCCGCCATGCCTTGTTGTTATAATTAATTAATCTATGTTAATTAAGCAGGAGGCTGTCCATTTCATGCCCAAATGCCAGGGGGCGCTATCTGCAGCCTCTCCTACACCGCAGCCCAAGCCTTGCAGATAGCATCTAGATAGTCTCATAAATCACTGGGCCTCAGAATCCTCCTATTGAACCCCACCTGGATTCCTCCCCTCAGGCAGCCTTTTCCGCCCTCGTGCCGGGCTCCCTGAACTGATCCCCCTTCGGGTGTGATCCCCCCACTGGGACCTTTGGCTCACTAGCCCTGGCCCACCTCCAGGCTAGTCGGAGCCCCAGGTTCTCTTGCTGGCGAGTTGCTCTTAATTCTGCCTGTCGCATTCTGCTTGTTTTTGTATTAAATAACGAGGTATTTGGAGAGAGAGAGGCTACCAGTACTCTGTATAGTCTGCTACAGGAATATCAATGATACGGCTCATGGGACCATGTCATCCTGCCCCGGGTGCTGCTTCTGGATCCCAGGGCAGTCCTACAGGCCACATGTAGCACTTGCTGGACTGCCCACGTGTTCAGGGCCTGGGCAGCCCCAACGTGGCTGCTCCAGGAGCTGTGCAGCACGCGACACCTGCCCCAGCCAGTCTGGGACCCACGCCACACACAACTGGTCTGGCATCCACATGTAGTGCAGATCCCAGACTGGCCGGAATTGGCATCAGGTGCAGTGTGGGCCCGAGAGTGGGCCCCCTGGGTGCTGGAACCTGCCATCCAGGGAGGGAGGTGGTCTGTTGGCAAGATCTGGTCCAGGGACTGGATCTGTGCTACTCATCTGGCCTGCCGAGCCAGATGAATTTGACACCCCTGGTCTACTGATGAGAAGAGGGGAGTGGGGAAGGGGAAAGACCTAAATTCTAGTCTCTGCTTCAGTACAGACTAGCTGTGAAATACTTAAATGCTAATTGGAGCCCTGGTGAGTGCCCTAATCACCACGCTGTACAGTACTATTGCTCAGGCTCACCTCTCTGGTCTAAGGAATGTTAAATCATTCTCTGCAAAGTGGAGCAGCCTCAACAGGAGCCATTTAGAGCAGCCTACCCTAGAGTAACCCCTCACTTGGTGATTTAGGGGATTTACTTGAGAGGTGGTAAAATCAGATTGAGATCCCCTTGGTGAGAGGAGAGATTTAAACACCAGTCTCTCTCTCCTGGCATTGGCAGCCTAACGGCTGAGCTACTGAGTAAAAGGAAGGTTCTCTGGTTGTCCCTTGTGTGGGGTCTGGTGCAGTTGGCCCAGGCCCCTTGGTAAGACAGGTTTCTTGTGTTTGTGAACCTGAAGGGGAGGGAGATGGAGGAGCATGGCATACATATTCAGCATAAGCAAGACTTAGGCAGTTCCAGGCATGCCCACAAGCAGACCTGTGCATGCCCAGACACTCTTAAGTCCCTCTAGACTTCATTGGTAACTTAGCAGTAGTTTTGAGGCTTGACCTGAGTCCTCCTTGTGTGGTCTTCAAATAACCTGTGGTCTTCAAATCCCTTCTGGTTGTAGCTTTTTGTCCTTTTTATTATTATTTTACTCCTGCTCAGCCCTGTTTCCTGTTGCTTTTTCATTTAACTTTTACTTTTGCAAACTGCCTTCTAGAAAGCTCTGGCTGAATATTCCAGCTGTCTGCTGCTGTTACCTCCCAGTAACACTGCGATGAGAAGAGATGTCCAAGAGGGCCAGGCTCGGTGTTTAGCTCACCTAGGAAGGCACCAGGAGGCTCTGGATATTGCAGAAAAACTGGTTAGTTGTGCATCCTTTCCCCAATACATAGCCAGGCTCTGTCCTCTTTCTGCATATGCCATTCTTCAGAAAAAACTTTCTTCATTTATTAGACCCTTCTGTGAGCTCAGTGCTTGGAAGGGAGGTGTTACCGTAGGTATGTGCTTTCTTTAGAAACCGAAGCATTGCTCCACAAAGCTATTGCAGCTCACTCGCAGTGTGGGCAGGTAGTCCTGGAGAGGACTACACACCCTGCTCTGTAGGCTGGAATTAACATATTGGGATAGTGGCTGCAAGAACAGGGATGGTAAATGAACAATTAGTATCTTCGTGTCACAAGTGTCACTCACGGTTTATGTTCCACTTTTATTTCCAAATGTTCACTCCCCAAAGTGACCCCCAAAGAAGTATCTTCCCCCAAGAACAGTTCTGACTCCAAAAAGGAAAATGTTCCAGAGACTGTGGGCACCACTGCTAGTGCTGATTTTATGTAAAAGTCACTTGCATACAGCTAAAGTGGGCAGTATATGAAACGCTAAGGTAGATAATTCAAGGCTCAGCCTGTCTTTCAGGTTGGTATGAAGCACCCCCAAGGGAAATCCATTCAGCCGATAGTTTATACCATTTTATCCTAATGGGTTTAGCAGAATTAAAATATTCTGGACAATTTTTCCAAAATTAATTGAATATCATAAAAAAGCTGCCTTGGGAGAGATTTGTTTATCACTTGCTCAGAAAGTTATATTTCCATGCTACAGAGGACTGAGTTCTTTCTGATATTGGCTTTTAATCTGCTATCTTTTGTTTCTAGAGGAATTGGGCAACTAACACAGATCATTTAACAACTGTACTCAACCTGCAGTTTGCCATATACTGTAATCTGGAAAATACTGAGGAAATGATCACATGTCTACAGCAACTAATCTCTTTGCATACTTTTAACCCTTGGTATTGGAAGTTACTTGCTGAGGCTTACATGAGCCTTTTGCAGACTCCGTTGTTCATTTCAGAAATGAAACTCAATCAGCGGAAAGATGTTGCTGCAAACAACCATGTTGTTGAAACCTCATCAGGAAAGGAAATTAGCTTTCAGTGTCCCAAACTGCACAGCTGGGAAGAAGATTTTCAGTCAAGATGTGCTACGGAGAGAAAGGATGGGGATTTTGTATCGTGTAGTGCTAACCAATCAGGACAAGGATCTTTTTGTACCGTGGAAGAATCGAAACCACAGAACAAAGTGAAACATGCCACCTTTACGTCCTGTGGACAGGAAGCACTGAAAGATGTTGGGATAAAGGCATGTGCCTCCTTTGTTAGAACAAGGTAACTAAATATATAATTAAAGGCAAGTATTATCTAGGCTTGGGGCCTGAACACACGATACATTTACACTGGTTTAATTTACATCAGTTTTGTACACCAGTGTAAATTACACTGAGTTTGGGAGTGGATGGATGAGCAACTATCCTATGTTTGCTGCAGGTATTTAGGAGCTGTTAAGCACCTTGCTTGTATGTGGAGGGAAAGAAGCAGCTGAGCAAACCCCAGGATAATCTGCAGAAACACCGTGCACATATTGGTTGTAACCAACACCAATGTAGATTTACCCTTCAGTTTTCCAGATTTAAGTAAGTTGCACCAGTTGTAGAGCTGGACATTGTTTGCAGTCCACCTTAAGATCAGTTGCATCTTAAAATTAGTGGTATAAGTGTGTTGTGTGTCCCTGGTCTTGGTTTAAAACATTGGTTCACTGGCTTAAAATATCTGGGAACCACTCGCAGCTCTCACTTTCTCATGGACCAGAACACATCCTTATCACTGAGACTTTTAATTGAAAACATTCTAAAGGCACACGAGGCCTGATGTTCACAGAGCAACCACGGGTTGCTTTGTACTCCATGAACTGAAGTTTGGGCAAACCGGTATAAAACAGCTCTCCTATCAACATTTTGCAGTGGCAATTTAGAGATTACCTCTACTGTTTGAAACACAAATGTGGTAACATTTTATTGTGGGATGACAACTGGGACATGAAGCTCACCAGCCTGGCGTTGCTGTGTAAAATGAGTTTGATGCAAAAAGAAAACCACATATTTTAATGGGAAGGGGGAAGTAAATTAATTCATGGCTTTTGGTTGTTTGCTTTAGTTCCCTAAGATGTTGGTACTGCTCAAGTATTCAAAAAATATAAGTCCTTCTCAGTGACATCCTTTAAAGGGGTGTAGGTTGTATTTTAAAATACTTTTTAAAGTAATTTTATTTAGAAGCTTTCCTATATTTACACTGAAAATACTGTTGCTTTAATAGTACTGCTCCTTTTAGTTTGGGAATTCAGGCTCCAGCAGTTGAACTTCTCAAGAATGTGGGATAGCCAACCTCCCTCCTGGGATTACAGCCTGCATTATTTGGTTGAAGCTTAGATTCTTGAGAGAGAATTTTAATAATACACCAATTTGCATAATGGATGAGGCTGAAGAATAAGTCCTGTGATAGTTGATTGACAGGAGTGCACTGAAATGTGTCAGCATTTTTCTCTCCCTTTTCTTGCTGCCACAAAAACAGAAACCTATACCTAAAGCATAATCTTTGAAAGAGCTAAATGGAGCCTGTTTTTTGTCAGATGATTTCTGTCCTTGCCTTTCAGAAATAATTTGTCAGTGAATATGTTAAAGCCATATTGTGGGCTTTTAAAGTGTTTACACTGAACGCCTTATAACAGATGAGGTATACCCATCCCTCGAGGGTGGTAAAAGCGGATTGAATAATTTATATTTCCAACTGTGCTAGAATTAAGAGAAGGTGACTTTTAATTAAGTTCTAGAGGGGCTTGGTGGATCGAACGCTATTTGGGATATTAAAACTGCATTCAGACCAATACTGTTTTGTTCTGCCTGTGTCAGTCTGGAGAGTTCAGTTTCAGTTACTTAGAAACACTGATTTGCCCTCATCGTGTACAGTTCTTCTGAATGATATGTATTTTTATTCCCCATGCCATGTACCAGCATGTGTCTCCTAATAAAAATTAATTTTCAGTTTTTTCCCCTGGAAAACTATTTGCCAAATTCACAACTAGTTTTGGTTGTCTTGAATCTACCTTTTTTGACACATATATTTGGCTAAAAAAAAATCTCACCTAGTTCTATTCTGCACTAAACTTTTTGATTTTTCTTTTCCTAAAAGTCCTGCCTCAGAATATAACTGAGCTAAAGTAACAAAAAGAAAATCTTTTGTAAATAAAGATAATATTTGAGTTGTTTTTTAAACTATATTCAGCACTTAAGTACAAGCAAGCTGTCATGGACTCACAGGTTAAAGATATTAGATATCCCCTCTCCTGAAGGCTCTTTACAGTAGTTGTTTGAGGTTTAGTCTTCAACATGCTACTGTTTTCTGTAACTGGCCTTTTAAAGAAATGGGTTTGCCCAGGCAATTTTGTGGGTGCCAGAACCTGCCCTGTAAATCATGATACTGATTCTGCAGTACTTCCTTTGAAGCAGGAACCATTGGGAAAGATTGTAGAACCACATCCCAGCATTGGGTTTTGTGGGTTAGATAACTCCGAGTCGAATCTGCTGCTTTCTCTTAAAAATTAAGTTCCTAGCTTTTATGGTAAAAAAAAAAAATACTTATCTTTATATGCAGAGATGAACCCTACTGTCTTCTGGAGTTTTACATTGAGCGCATAACATGTGCTGCATGTAGCATAACCTACAAAGTGTGTAATGGGGACACACTTCCTGCGCTGCCCTGGTCAGCGTACCCTTGAAGAAGACGATGTAAAAGTGTGGACGTTTCATTGCCTGTTTAATAATTTAAAAGCTGTCACCTCTTTGAACTGACTTTCTGCTTTCAGACTTTTACTTCAACTTACGCAGTTACAACAGTCTTCTTTCGCTTTGGAGAATAATTTACGGGCTCAGCAAGAAACAGGAGACCAAGTAAAATCCTTTGGTTTAAAGGAAAACTCCTTGCTGTTGATTACTGAGGTGAGGGCACATTTCATTTTCAGATGAGACTTTTTAGCAATGTTTCTCAACCTTTTTAGACTTAAGGCACCCCTCAATAGACTTGAGCCTCCCCCCTCCCCCACCGTGGAAAATGTCAGCTCTGTTTTCACTTAACTTTTGACTACAGAAAAACAGTAGAGCAATTCTCCTGTTGCAAAGAGTTCAGAAAAACCATGACAGGTCAGAATACTTTTAACACTGCGGATTCCTATTTGAAATCTTTAGGTTTATCTTATGAATCATGTTCATACACCTAGCAGTGCTAACATAGTGTGGCATCCGGTGGCACCCCCAAAAGGATCTCAAGGCACCCCAAGGTGCTGTGGCATCCTCATTGAGAATCACTGGTTTATAGATACAGTGCAGGCACACTTAAAAGGTGTCCTGGTTTTTTGTGGGCACCAGTTTTATTTAAAGAGAGTGCATGAAAGAGAATTGCAAACATGAAGCAAACTGAGAACATGTGGAAACAAAGATAGTTTTATTCAGAAATCTAACTCATTATTTAAAAAAACAAACAAGAACAAATGGAGGCTTTTCTGTAGTATTCTTTACTTTTAGTAGTAGTGTTTCGTGGGCTGGGCCCTGGTATAAATTATTGCAGAAGTTTGGGGAAAATATTCCATGGCTGTGATCACAGAGAGGTTACACCGAGGCAGCGTGAGGGATACAAATCCTGTCTTTCAGCTCTAAAACAATACTACCTACATAACTTGCTCTTGCCTACTGAGGTCAAGAGGAAATCACTTCACAGACAGACCTTTAAGAGGGCTGACTCTGTCCGCTAGAGGGCAGTGATATGCAGATTTGTTATTACAAACTAACTGGAAAAGTGTTCCCTTGCACCTGCTTGACTGCTGTTTTATCAGGAGACCAGAATATTGCTGCTGCTGCCAGCTATGTTTTGTACTTGCAGTTAGTAATGTGGCTTTTCACTTCAGTTTGGGAGCATATATCCCAGCGCTGCAGCACAGCCAGGAACCGAGAGGAATCCTGCAACTCAGACACATGGGCTTTCAATGTCCCACACTTATTGCAAAATGCAATAGATTAACAGCTGGAAACCTTATGTAGAGCCAGTACCATCCCTGTTTCAATTTGTAGGCATGTGTTTCTATATGGGTCTGTAACCAGATTGTATTCCTGTCTGTCTTCCCTCTTTATTTCATTTGCAGGTTATGGGAGGGGATCTCATTCCAGAAAAACTGAAGGAGGACTGTCAGGGAGAGGTGAAGTGTATGGAGGCCTCAGCACTATCATCCTTGGTAGCTGCATCAGCCAAAGAATTTGAAAGCAAATGGTTCAAGAAGCTCAAAGACAGTTTGTGTCATTTAGATTGCCCAGCTATAAGCACCCCATCCTAAGCAGTTTAAAGGCGTTTTATTTATTTATTTTTTATTCTCTTTTCATCAAATGACAATGGAATAACTTGGAATAAAGCTAATAAGATGTTGTTTTTAAAGTAAGGTGACTTTCTTTTTTGAAAAACAAATGGGCTGCATTTCCTATCTTCAGTCCCTTTGTGTCCTTTCAGACTTTTTTCTATCTGCACTACTACATTTACAGTTTCAGGAGATAAAATGGAACTGGAGTGAGTGACACTTAGCCTTTAAAGAGGAGCTCTCAATGTGAACACTAAAAATCTAACTGGTGGGTGCACTTCACACATGATTTCTCTGCAGCTGTGATAGCATTGTCCTATGCTCAGTAGCAGGGGTGTCAAACACGGCCTGCAGAGCTGGGTCGTCCAGCCCACAGACTTTTGCCCTGACCCTGCCTGCATTGGGGGCTTTCCCAAGTGCCCGGGCAAGAGCAGCAGTGCTGGAATCCCAGCTATACCATGGGAACAAGCCTGGTATTGTATGTGCTTGGCTGTCACTGCTGGAACAAGCCGTGGTGCTGGGCTTATTCCCACAGTGCTGCTGGGGTTCCAGTGCCACAGCTTTCACCTTGGCTGCCAGGCACCTGAGCAAAAGTAGCGGGAGCCCCAGCAGTACTTTGGGAAGAAGCCCAGCACCGTAGTTTGTGGTACCCATCCTGGACCAGCCCTGCCTGGTGCTGCATGTGGCACAGGTCTGGAGTAGCTGGCATGCAGAGAGGGGTGGAACTGTCCATTGGCCCAATCTGGTCTGTGGGGCCATTCATTCAGCTGGTGGACTGGTCCTGTGCCATTCCTCTAGCCCATGTGGCTAGATGTGTTTGACATCCCTGCTCAATAATGCATCCAGCCTGGACTTCCCTCAGGATCTGGTTTTATCTTGCAGCGCTTAGAACTGAGAAATTAGTAATTTTTTTTATATATATATATATATATATATATTCAACATATTTTTTAAATTAAAACATTTACTATTTCATTCTACACAGAAAGCTTCATATTTGCAAGATCAAAAATCTGGGAATCTCAATTTATTTGTTATGTTTAGTATATTTCCAGTAAGAACAACTCTACTGTTTGTCTCTGTCTGATCATTTAATAGTAACTTCTCTTCCAGTTTACACAGCTCTCTGTGTCTGTGTTCTCTTTACTTTCCCAGTGTCACTGGTTTGTAAGGAGCAGAGACACTTTCAAGACCTGCCAAAACACCAGAGAGAATGCAGGCAGAAATTTATTCAGAAAGCACTGACATGGCATGGTTTGGGCTTGTTCTGTGCTCTGCTTTGTCTGACTTCCTGAGTTTAAAAGAGCTGACACTCCAGGCAATCAAGGCGGACTTTTACTTTTGCTAAAAAAATGCATTCCCCTCGCAAACTCTGAATGTATTTGGGTCTTGTTAACTTTTGATCTGGTAGCGCTAACCATAATTTTGCCCTCTTTGTCTTTTCCTCAAGTTTTGGTTGCTTTCTTTTCCATGTACTAAAGAATACCGAGGCTTTTAAAAATTAATTCACCAGACTCTAGTCTGCCATTTGTAAGGACCCTTTGTCTGCTACTTTTAAATGGAGTCTAAAACAACTATTCCAATTTCCTTTTTGTAATACTCAGTGACATATCATTTTATACTCAGTAAACAGAAGTTGTAGGGCTTTACCAGAAAAAAATCTTGCTCCCAGTCGCATCAAATTATCTATAGTGAGTTGACAACTTAATGCAATTAAACCACATCCTGGTCAGCTCATTATGAAAGATGGTGGGTTGGCAAACATACTTGGATGCCTGTTTAACATGTGTACATGTCAAACGGTGGCTTCATTTTAGTTATGCAAATTCATTGCTAAGGGGAAATAATAGCCTGCTGTGTTTTAGGTCTGCAGTGCACTCCCCCTGTAAAGACATCCTTTATATGACAAGCTGGCTGAGTTGGCTCCACAGTTGTAGAAAGCATGATTCCCACTAAGGGGCTGGGGGAAAGGAAAAAATTTACCACATGTTGCTGCTTCAGTGGCTTGCATACAGTGCCCAGGCTATGGTTGGGGGGGGGGCAGCACCATTTTTTGTGCAATTGCTCCTGTGAGTCAATGTTGCCTCTCTGCAATGGTTGACTATCTTGTTCCTTCATTCACCGCTTCTGCAGTCAGAAAGGCTAGTATTCCTCATGAACAATCAGCTCATTCTCAAACATAATGATCTAGTTCCATTCACATAGGCTAAAATTATGGCGCTTTTTCAGACTGATAATACCTTATATCTTGCATGCAATACTGCTGCATGAGATGGGCCTTTTTTTGCAACAAGACCATGCTGGTGACTCATATTCAGTGTACAAACCACCATTTCCCTCTCCTGAGTCCTTTAGGGACTTGCTTCCTAGGCACTAAGCCATTATATCCGTGCTCGTTTTAATACTTACTAACATTTTGCTAGCCCTAGTACTTTACAGTCATAACTGATTACTCTACAGTGGAGCAGGCAAAGCCAGTGCTGGATATCCGACCCCATAAATCAGTGAAATCCCCAGAGGCAGTCTAAGTGCCATGCAAAGACTAACAGAAAATACATGAGATTGATCTGGCATGGCAGTAAGGATGGTTTGCACAGTTAAAGTCTCCATAAACATTGTGAGAAAGAAGATTGAAGACAAATGGGTAGTATAGAAGGTCCATTTTGAATCCAGCACAAAAGCTCAATTGAGCCTTGGCATTAATGGTATTGAAAGGGTGCAGCTCATTAATTTAGATGACAGCTGAACTTGAATGTCAAATGAATAAGACTTCAATATTGATGAAAAACAGTAATGAGTGAGATTATAATTGCAGCAACATATTGTGCCAAAAATCCTAAACAGGCTCCCACAAGCTAAACTGGCCAATGATCAAGGAAACAAGTAGTTACAAGCAGCTGCAGAAATGACCCAACCATCGAGAAATTCAGAGGAGAAAGACATGCTATTTCCATTTGCTTGATGGGAAACGCTCACATTAACACCACCATGTGATGCCAGAAACTCTACATCAGCGGTTTTCAACTTAGAGGTCCATAGACTGTGCCTAAGGGGTCTGCGAAAGCTATGATCAAAGTATGTGAATACCCACACTAACAATTCACCTCCATTTTAAATTTCCAAAGGGGTCCGCACTTCCATTTGAATTTTTTTAGGAGTCTGCAAATGAAAAAAGGTTGAAAACCACTGCTCTACACCAATGTTAATGTTTTGGTACCACAGGTAGTTGTAATGTTTGTCATACGATAGAGCTGTTGTATTCAGACAAAGGCTGTCTATATACCAATAAACAACAAAAAGAAGAATTTTAGATTAAGTTTCCATGCAGCAGTCACTTTCAGACCATCAGATCCAGTCTTTCCACACAAAAGAAGATAACACCATAAAAATAATTAGAGTTGTGCATCAGTTCAGTCTTTAGAAGACTCCTCATGTACTTCTCAAAGATACCTTGTTCCTCTGAGGCTGATTGGATAGGCAGAATGCTATGATCGAGCCTTAATTTAGAAAATGTTTTGTAAAATTAAGTTTGTGTTTTACGACAGTGTTCTTCAAATGGGGGCATATGGTACTTTGCCAAGGAGCACATCTCATTTTACTAATGGTGGTGGAGGTTTTGATTGGTCAATACGTGGTGAGTATTGGCATTGCTGAACATTGACAT